GCAGGAACAGAATCTCACAGGATCTCACCTAATTTTGGGAGAGGGAATTTGGTAGAAAGGTATGAAGAGAAAGAGCTGAGAAGGTAATGTGCCTTTGGTGTTGAAGGAAGTGGGCCTGATGTCTCCCCCTGCCTCCCCCACGCACACCTCCCCCTTTCACAACATCAGTCCTGGAACTCTCTTTGTTTCTTGGCAAAATTTGCTATTTTTGAATAATATGATTTTTAAATGGTTTCACAACAATTTCACACCTCACAGAAAACTTCAGGATTTGCAGGCAGGACATCACCCCTGAGATCATGGGATGGCTTTGCATAATCTCAGACAGCTCACTTCACTCTTGGAAGAAGAGAAACATGTGTTTTATATTAGTTTAGATGGACAGGGGTATTTCTTTTAGCATTAAAACCTGCGAATACTATGTATTCCCTGGATATTGTGTATGGTGCAGGTCTCTAACTATGTGAAATATATAAATCAGTTTGAGAAGGAACTTATTTGAACTGTGGTTCCCCAGCTGGAGTCCCTTCTTTCTTCAGTATGTTGAGATGATAAAGAATCTGAACCATGTTTACATTTGATCGTAGATTGGCTAAGTTATCTGATTCACGTAAAAGTGCACCAAATGAGCAATAGTTGTAAGGCAAGTATTAGAAGCACTTTTTAAAAAAGCCTTCTAGTAGGTATTTGTGAAAGTTTTGAGAATTTCTGATGGAACGAAATCACATTTCTTGTCGTTATATTATGCCCCATGTTGTGATTTTTTTCTTAAGGAAAACCTGAAGCTGATACATTGTGAGAATGCCAGGTTCTGTGACTGAAAAGAATAATTACATTTCAGATGGCAAACCTTACTCTGTCACTGGGGTTCTGCATTAAAAATGCCAGAAAGAGACAAGCAATTGAAGGCAAATCCATTTACTCTGTTTGGAACACACTGGCCTATTACAGGCAGGAAAGACATTCAGTCTCTGAAGGAAAACAGTCCAACCTTTTAGTTCTGACTAATCCTGGCTGAAAATAGTTTACTGGATTTGGCTTTGCTGAAATAAACATAAAGGCTTGAATTATCCAAAAAATATTTTTTTTGCATTGCAAAATTAATTTTTGTGCAATAGGATTTCCCCATTTCCCCACTGTTTCCAGAGTTTGCTAAGACATTTAACTTTATAAAGTTGACTTTTGCTAAAGTGCATGGTGAATATTAAAAATAGAAGCAGTTCAGTGAATGAATAAGCTGAGAGGTGGAGATTTCCAGGCCTGTGCATAGCTTTTCATTGTATTGTTCAAGATGGGTATGGGAAGGGATTTTTCTTTCCTCATCTGCCCACATCCCACTTCCACTTGGAATATTTGCAAAATTCAGATTGCCAACTTAATAACATATCAAATCTAGAACCACAAAGCATTTACGTACATATGTTGTAATGCAAATATATTTATATAGAACAAGATTTCTTAGGAACTGACTCAGGCTGCCCTTGTAGTCTTAGAACTATTTTTTTTTTTAGCATGAAAGATGTCCATTTTTATGTACGACATACTTATGGACATTAGTCTTTTGAAACTGTCACGATGCTACATGTCCTCTGCTTGACGTGGAGGGATATAACCAACTGGCAGCAAGTACTTGCACTGTGAAAGTTTAGTAGTCTACTCAAGCTGAAGTCCATGATAAAAGACACTGAGCTTAAAGTGGATGTTCACCTGAAAAAAAAAATGCATTTTTCTGCCTTTTGCAAAACTGATCCTTATATTCTTGGAATCTAGACACAAAGGACTGCTAAAACTGAAATATTTCATCTCCCACTACTTTAAAATCGAATGGTAGTTGATTCAAAGCTCAAAATTATTGCCAAGTGAAATGACCCCATTCTTATTTTAGAAATGTGAAGTAATCTTTAGGTTTTTGTGGCTGTGTCACAGCTGCAAAGACTTGGGGCAGTTGAAATTAGAAGACCCAGTTCATTTTTGTTCTACATGTGTTTAACTGCTGTTAATTTTCTGTTCGATAGAGTTAGTCATTATGTTCACTCACTTAGCTTATTGACCCAAGAAAAAGATGATGACCCCATTGTGTTTTGGTGACCATGACTACAAGCAGCACAAAGAACTGGTCAAAGAAGGGTGTGTAAGAGGACTACCCAGTGACAACTTGCTTACAGTAAGAGACTACCACTGGTGTCCACTCACTGCCAAAATCTATTTCATGCATGGGGGAATGCATTCTCAGAACCTCTGATCATGACTCCTTAGCTTTACCCAGAATTCTGGGATTCAGATCACTCAGGGTTTTAGGTGGCAGAGCTGGAGGAGGGTTGTTAATTTAGTATTGGTTAACTTACTGGAAGAAGAGAATGGATTCTTTTCCTTTTCCCACCCGAACTACTCCACCCTTCTGTAGATCTCATTCTTATTGTTTCTGTGAAGAGCCAAACCAGCTGCTTTCTTTCCAGGCCTGATCTCAGTCTCAGGGACATTCTCAGGCATTAGCAAAGGCCTTGAGAAGTAAAGGCCTTGGTAGGTAGACAGTCAGACCTCAGCTCAATCAGAAATGTTGGAATTGACAACATTATATTTAAAAATACCCATGTCCTACACTACTGCACATTAAAGCAATTTCTAGGTGCTAAATCATTCTACTTTCTTGAGCTTAGACTAGGCCCAACTGTGGTAAATCTTGGAATCATCAAAACTTTTGAGAGTTCGTACCAAGGTGTAACTGTGCGGAATTCTACTAAGTAATTCAGTCAAGTTTTTCTGAGATGATAAGGTTACAGATTCTCAAGTCTCAACAAGTCATAGAGCCCTAATATATCTCCTTCCCAGACTCCTGTTTTGTATTCCTAAAAGCATAAGACATTGCCCCATACTGTAGAAGTATACTAAGTATACTACCCATCCAAACAGTATGTGTAGTAATGGTTCAAACAGAGCGCCTGCTGAGAATGTTTTTATCATAGGGTTTTTTGCCATTAAGTCAACTGAGTATGTAATGCCTGGGTAGTGTTCTCACTAAGGTGTGTTTTGAATAAGATCAGGGATGCTGTATGCGTTAGTATGGTTCATGAGAAAACCTGCTGGATTGGGGCAGGTTGAGTAAGGCACAGGGTTCCATTACTGGGATCAGAACACTGATGACTAGCCTTCATGCACAATTGAAAGAGCTGGTGTTGGGAGGTTAGGGAGTGTTAATAAGGGAATTAGGAGAATGTGGGTTGCCACTTAAATTTTGCATAGTTTTCCTGAGTGAATTTTATCCAATAGCAAAAAAGGAATTTTCAAAACTTTTACCCACCCACAGATTTTCATGAAAATGTCACTGACCAAAGACAGTTTTGAATTTTGTATGAATTGACTCATTTCTCCACAGGCATTTTGCCTGGCATAATCCAAAGTATTTGCTTTGGCTTGAATGTTGGGCAGTTTGCTTTTTAAGTAACATTGGATTATGAATACAAGAAAATAAATACAGAGCTAAGGCTGTGTCCCTGTTTTTCTTTTATGGCCTGATATACAGGTTCATGGGCCAGCTTTAGCCATGTAAGACATTTCTTGAGAAAAAGTAAATTCATTGTAAACTGTGGAAGAAAGTTCTTTTATATCCTTTTGTTTTGTTATATTGATAAGGCTTGGCATTGATGTGGTGACCACAATTATATGACCAGAAGGGACCTTAGGAAAATATCATCTAAGCTTGACTATTAATTACTATTTCACAATTCTCATCTTGGCATAACCGAGTACATCGTATAGTACCAAGTATTGATAAAGGTATGGAGGAGGGCAATACTTTAACATTGCTGGAGAGAGTAAATGGGTATAACCACTTTGGAGACCATTTTGGAAATACCTCATAAAGATGGAAATGAGCATATCTAATTAAAATGTATTTTGGTGGCTACCCTAGAGAAATTCTTGTATATGGTGGAAGGAAGACATGAAGACATGCATCTCTGTTTTAAAAAAGTATATATAACCTAACTATTCATAGATAAAGTAAGTCAATAAACTGTATTTTATTATGAAATATTATAAAGGCATTTAAAATTAATGAAATATATATGCATACATTTGCCTCTTTACATATCAACATGGATAAATCTCAAAAAAAGAATGTCAAGTGAAAAGACTACATGCAAA